TAATATAATATATAATAATTAATATAATAATATAATATATATAGTAATATATATTATATATATAATATAATATAATTAAATAATATATAAATAAATAGTATATAATAATAAATATATTATATATATATTATATTAAATTATAATAAATTATATAATATAATATATATTATATATATTATATTATATTAAATTATGTATATATACATATACATACATGTAACATAAAACACAAATGTACAAAAATCGATAAAACTCAAATAGACAAAAATCTCATTTTATGTGTTCCTTGTGTAAACTAACTATATACACGTATATACTAATCTATCATGTATTTGACAAGAATACTATGTCATTTAGTAGAATACTATATCATTTATTTTTAGAATAGTAATCATTCTCGACAAATTTATCGACAAATAAAAAAAAATAAATAAAATCTATATTTTCCCATACACGGTATATATATATATATATATATATATATATATATATATATATATATATATATATAACAATAATATTAATAAATAAATAAATAATAAACGTTTTAATGCGAACGTACGCTCAAACACATTTGTCTAAAATTAAACGACACAGTTTAACGGCCGTGTATTGAATCACACAGACATTCACGAACACGCGTGCGACATATACATTCTCTCTCGCACGCGATTCAATGTCACCCTACTACTATGTTTTTTTTTTATGTGTGTATGTGTGTGTATTGTTTTTTATTTATTTTTTATTTCTGTTTTTTTTTCTTTTTTAAACAATTTATTACATTTTTTCTCTCATTATATTTTACCCTGATACATTATTTAAATAACAATCTTTAAACATGAGATTGATTACATAAAATGGATTTTTATCAACTACCCTCATATCATGCTTGCGAATAAAAAATTATTATTATTATTATTATTATAAAAAAAAAGAACAAATTACGTGAACGTTACGACCTAATTAATTTCATTTCTTTTCTTTTTTCTTTTTCAAAAAAAAAAAAAGAAAGAATATCTAGTGCGATACAACGTTCGCACTTATGCGTGTACATGTGTGTTCTTGTGTGATAAATAAAAAAGTAAATATTTATATATATCTGCTCATCGTTCAATAACATTTTGTCATCTGTGAAAAAATAAAGAAAAAAGAATTTTGGCTTTTGCATTTCTCGAGCCAACGAGATAAAATATGAATTAACCAAAAAACATCTGTAACTAGGGGGTTGGGTTTCAGGTAAAGGGGGTGGTTGTGAAAGGGGAAATAATAGACATTTTCTATAAGAAAATAGAATAGTAATAATCAACGACTGTGAAGAGAGAACATCGAAAAATCTTTTTTTTTTTTTTTTTTTTTTGTAAATTTAGGCCGTCTCTTCCTCCTCATCTTCTTCCTCATCAACTCCAACGCATTTTGGACAAACTGGTTTTCCTTCCATTGCGTAGAATGATTTCCCGGAAACCGGATTCTTGCAATCCTATAATTGTTATACATTTAAAACACACAAGGATGGCATATAAAAAAAAAACAAATTTTAATCGTCCAAATATATAGGTAAAACGCTGCAAATTGAATTTCCTGTTTTTAAAATCAACGCATTATTGTCATTCTTTTGTATATTAATTAAATCATGAATTATTATTATTATTGTGTAATGAATAAAACCTACTCTGCAAACGAAACAATCCGGATGCCATTGACTGTTCAAAGCAGAGATATAATTTTCTATGATGGCACGATTGCAACCACCGCATTTAGGTGCAAACATGTCGAAGAAATCTTCCCGACAATATGGCTTTCCGTCACGTTCGTGAAAACCTTCCTCACCGAATTGCTTGCCGCATTGGGCACAGAAGAAATGTTCCGTGTGCCAAGTTTTTTCCAGAGCGGTTACGCATTTCTACAGAATAAAAAAAAATATATATATTAAAAAAAAAATATATTACATATCTTTTGATTGTTTATAAAAAGACATCTTACAAGTATATTTATAATTAAACGTATCAATGAACGATCTTGAAATATATCTTACATCGAGAATTGGACCATTGCAATAAGCACAACGCGGTGAGAAAAGATTATGATAATCGGGTTCGCAATATGGGTGTCCTTCTCTTTCAAAAAAGTTACGTGTACCCAATTCCTGATTGCAATGAGTACATGTGAAATGTTCAGGGTGCCAGGTTTTACCCAAGGCCGTGATTACCTAAATAAGAAAACGTCAATTGTTAATAATAGAAACAAATTTAAAAAAAAAAAAAAACCATATAAATATAAAGGTGTCGTGATTTCATCTTCAATTCACCTGTCCTACGATCGGTTTTTCGCAGGCATTGCAGCATCCCTTTTGCGTAGTGTTAACACCTTGACGGCTCATATCTGCCTGAAGATTTCCTAGCATAGAATCCAATTGATTCTGTTTGATTTGTGTTGCCGCTTGTGCAGTATGACTTTCACCGTGCTGTTGTTGCTGATAATGATGTGTTGATTGAGTTTCTGTAATGTGTATTCTCGTTTGTGTGGTACCCTCAGCCGGTGGCAACGGGCTTTGAGAACTTTTAGTAGCTTTATTTGGCTTAGCGTATGGAGAATCGGTCACCGTTTGATGTTGATGTGAACTGCTATTTATCTGGAAAATAAAAATGTAGGGAGAAAAAAAAAACTATGAAACTATATATATATATAAATATTCTCTCTCTCTTTCTCTCTATTAACAATTTTATTATTATTTTTATCTTTTCCTTTCTGGAAATTGAAATTATTATGTGTCTTTAATTGTGATTTATGATGTTTATTAAAGAAATAAAAAGATGAAACAATAATCTTGAAAGCTTCCAAAGCTTTTAGGACTATTAATAAGATTGAAATGAGAAAATGTGTCAAGGTAAGGGTTTTGTAAGTATAGGAAGTATCTTGAAAGGTGAAAGAGTGTAAAAAAGAAAAAAAAGAAAGAAGGGAAGGAAGTGTTGTTTAGATCCTCACTGTGGGAGATGTCGAGTGTTACAGGCGAGCTTGCAGACTGACCGAGAAGCTTTCGGCAGCTTTTTGGATCACTAGACACCTCTCCTCTCTTCACCCCTTCTTCTTCTTGTTTCTTCTGCTTCTTCTTCTTCTTATTCACCTTCTCCCGTCCCTCCCCCTATATTTTCCCTACCACCCAACGTAAAGACACAGAAAATCAAGAGAAGTGGAGAAAAGGGGACGCCAAAAGAGAAGAGAAGAGTAAAGAGTAGAAAGAGAGAGAGAGAGAGAGAGTAGGAGATGAAGGAGAGTAAATGGTTAGGTAGGTAGGTAATTCTCTACTGGTCCTCTTCTGTGGATGGTGGAATGAAAGTTATTTTGGTAACTCGGGGAGCCAAGAATGGGCAGGAGTAATAGGTTTTGAACATCATCACTGTTTTCTGATTTTCTGCAGTATGAATTGGGAGAATGTGAATAGCCCGCGCATATTACATGTCAAGTCTCAAGAAAAAAAACAAAAAACAAAGAAAGAACAAAACCAAGTAACAATTCTATAAGATTATTAGTAAAGTAATATTGTTCAAGATACTTTAAGAATCTTTGACAATTGATTTGAATTTTCTGCATTATCAGCTACCTCCCACACTTCTTTCCTCATTTCCTCTTCTTTCTACCTTTACCTCACCTCACCTCACCTCACCTCAATCTACCCCACTCTAACCTACTCTCCATCCCCTTTAAGTAACCATCACCTTCTTCTTGTCTCTTTATTTTAAGAGTCAAATAAGTTATACCTTGAACTCGGAAAGGGAGGCCATCAAATCGTCAAGCTCTTTCGTTGCATTACTGGCAGTATGACCGTTGGCATAACTACGCTGTTGAATCTCAGATCGATTCAAGGAACCATGCTGACTCGAAGGATAACCATCATAGACTGGTTGAATTTCTGTTGAAGTTTCTTGTATGGTGACCTTGACTCTACCATCGCTGGGATATTCCCTGATAATTGTATAATACTTTTTTTATTTTTTGGAAAGGTTTTTGGTTAGTTGGTTGGTTGGTTGGTTGGTTTGCTTATTAGGGGTTCAATTACATTTTTCTTTTTCTTGTTGGTTTTTGATTTTTTTTAATGGATATTTGTACTCACCCATTAGGCACAGCTGTGTTAAGTTCCTCGAGCAAAGCATCGACGGTGGGGCGAGGGGCTGACATACTACTCGGTGAACGAAGCATCGGACTAGTTGTACCCCCATTAACACCCCCCGTTGATACGTGACTGTCTAAAAGGTACCAAGTATTATTTAATCGATTTTAATTATTTCCCTTTAATGTGTTCTCTCTTTTTTTGATAATATTTTGAATATATTATATATTTACGAACATATATCTAATTATTAATTATATTTAATTATATATATATAATATTGTAATATATATATAATAATATAATAATAATAATATATCATAATATAATAATATCAATAATAACAATAATAATAATAATAATATATATTATATATATATATATATATATATTTATATATACTTTTTTTTTTAAATAAAATAAATATTATTAAATTTATATTATATATAATATTATAAAAATTATTATATAATACTAAAATATATTATAATGGATAATAATTATTAGTAAATATTTTTATATAAGAACAAATATCAAATTTAATTATAATATTATTAAATTTTTTATTGAGAAAATTATTATTAGATAAATATATAATAATAAAATATGTAATAAAACAAACCTCTTTCGTGATAATGAGAATTGTAACGTGCATTGCTCAAATCTTGAAGCAACGTGTCCAATTCCGAAAGATTATTGTTCAACGATGGCATCTTCCCACCTGTGCTTGGATTTTGCGTGTAAGTTGTACTCGATGATTTTGTAATTGTCTCCTCGATTGCTTCACGATTTTGATAAGTCGGCTGCAATTATTTATAATATTTCCACAACGTAAAAAACACGACTATTTATTTATACTTTTTTTTTTCTGATCAAATTTCTAGAAATTACTTTTTTCTTTTCTATTGCTTGTGAATATTCGTGTCCTTTTAAAAATACTTTCTTTAAAAAAAAAAACCAACACATCACCTTCATCCCCCAGAAGAAAACAAATGTACATAAATGCGTGTGCATACGTTTCTATATGTTTTTATATGTGTATATGTGTGTGCATGTGTGTGTTTACACGATTATCACGAACCAGAAGATATAAATATATTTATATGTGCGAAAAATGTTATGACTTGTCCATGACGAAGATTCGTCAGATGTTAAGAATATGATTCATTGATGATAAATCATAGTGAAAATATTACATTTGAATAACATGATTTGGTTTTATACTTGACTCAATTATTTGGCCAGTATGCATAACATAAAATTATATGCATAAAAAAAAAATATAATAATAAAAAAATATATTTAATTTCTTACCAAAATAAATTGATAACTAAATTTTGAAATGACATAAAAACGAAAAATTAAAAATAATATTAAATAAAAATTAATCGAAAATAATATTATATCTAATATTATAATAATAAAAAGATATATATATAATTTCTTACCAAAATAAATTGATAACTGAAATTAAAAATTAAATTTCTCGTACAATTCTTAAGGGATATAAATAAAATAGTTGATTTTAAAAATGATTGAACTATACTAACAAAATATATTTAATTTATATAATTAAATTGTTTTGCATATTAATATGTAAATAGACATATATGTGTGTGTTTATATATGTAAAACGTGAATGCAAAATTGTTGGCTTCTTTTCTCAATTTTATCGACCTGCCAAAATCCTTAGATATGCACATTATTTTCAAAACATGATGTCATTATCGACTATACTCAAAAGTGCCTTTGTAAATACATTATCAATTAGTTCTAAAAGAGATAGACTAACGTTTGTAACAAGTTTAATAATGTATATTACCAATTCTAATTCAAAACTCTTGCCAATATATGTTTATCCCCTTGTGAAGGTCTTTTCGTCGTTTGATACAAAATTATCGTATTAACGCAACCCTCTCTTCTAATTTTCAACGAAACAGAAAGAGATAGAGGAAATCAGATCAAAATAATTCCAGTATTTATATAATAATTTATTAGAGTATTACGACAAGTTCGTTTTTCGACGTTTACATGCTAGTAATAATAACTAAAAATAGAATTAGCAAAATGTGTTTATATGTTATGTGTTTTAATCAACATTTTCAATTTACAAGTTTATATATATATATAATATACAAAAGTTATATTTTAATATAAAATTTAATTTAATATTATTTATAATTTATTTAATTAATAAATTTTGAAATTTTTTATTATTATATTTTATATTAAAATTTAAAAATATTAAAATTATATATATATAATATATAATAATATATATAAATATATATATTATATATTATAATTATAATTATAATGTATAATATATAAATAAATAATATAATTATATATATATATATATATATATAATTACGTAGTTTTAAATTTACTAACTAATTTAAATAATTAGTAATTTTAATTTAAATTTAATTAATTTAATTTAATAATTAAATTAAATTAAATTAAATTAAATTATATATATATATATTTTATTCCTTCTCA